TGTTGTAACATTTCCCCAAGACGACAGCATTTTTGCACTACAAACTGTTGGTAGACGTTTTGACCAGGATTGGTGCAGGAATATTAGAAACCAGGATTGGAAGAAGACGCATTTTCGGGTTTTACATGGGAAGGTTTGCACTGTAAAAGTCACATGTAGTTTATATCACTAAAGTCAAAGCACTAAAGTTTGTTTGGTTTTTCTTGAAAATCCTGAAGGAAAATTGGTGTTGATGAAAGTATTCACAAAGGATTTAGGACCAGTAAAAATTGTAAGAGCAAATATGATTTTTCAGGAAAATGTTGACCATTAAGTAAAAATATGACGACCATTGTCGTTTTCTTGGAATACTATTTAAAAAATATTACAGTAGTTGAATAAACTTAATATTAAATAAAATTTAGATAATCTATAATCTATAATTTTATCTAAGATTGTATTAAGATTTAATTTCAAATTGGCAAATTACATAATTAAATACAAAAAGTGAGAAAAAATTTAGATTGTTTGCATAAATTTTAAAAAATATTTAGGGTGGTTGAAGATAGTTTTAATGTTAGATAAAATTTCAGATTAACAAATAATCTAAAACTAGATTATCTAATAATCTACAAGTTCGTCTAAGATTATATTATTAAGGACTTTTAGATTTAGAAATAGACTTTTTAGAGGATAAAATATTATATACACACGTCTACAAGAGCCTAGATAATTGTTTTTATATTCAAATGCAATTTTTAAATATACCGAGTTGCTATAAGGCATTATAATGTTAGAAATATTATAGTTTATGTAATTTTGTACAAATTTGTCAAATATTTTATTTATATAAAACGAACCGTTAAAAAGTTACAAGGGTTAGTAGTAAATAAATGCTTAGATAAATTGCATTTGGAAACAAACCGTGATTGATATGTTATCTAATCTATAATAAATAATCTAATTGCTTTAGGGCATTATAATGTTAGAAAATATTGTAGATTATTTAATTTTGATTAAATTTGCCAAATATTTTAATTAATTGGACAAACGGTTTGAAAGTTCACAAGAGTTATAACAAACAAATGCATGAATGAATTTCATGCCAATTCGAGAACAAAACGTGATTGAATACTCATATATATTGTTTATATTCAATTACATTTTTAAAGTATACCGAGTTGCTGTAGAGCGTTATAATGTTAGAAAATATTGTAGATTATTTAATTTTGTACAAAATTATCAAATATTTTATTTATAAAAACGAACTGTTAAAAAGTTACAAGGGTTATAGTAAATAAATGCTTAGATAAATTGCATTTGGGAACAAAACGGGATTGAATACTGTTATATAAGTTGTTTATGTTCAATTGCATTTTAAAGTATACCGAGTTGCTTTAGGGCATCATGATGTTAGAAAATATTATAAACAGTTTAATTTTGTATACATTTGCCAAATACATTATGTAAATTAGACAAACGGTTTAAAAGTTACAAGAGATATAATAATGCACGGATAAAAAGATAAAAATATTAAAATTTTAAGTAATAAGTGTTCTAAAATTTGATAAATATTTATAAAATACTTATGGACAAAATACGCATTCAACAATATTTTTAAAACTACATCATTGTACATTTTTTAGACTTTTTAAGCCACAAATCAATTTTATATATTTTTGTTCTTTTTTCAATTCTCCGTAAAAGATAAAAGTATTAAAATTTCAAGTAACAACATGTTTTCTCAAATTTATTAAATATTTCTGAAATATTCACGAAAAAACGTGCATTCAACTATATTTAAAAACTACATTATTACATTTTTTTTAACTTTTGGGCCAGAAATCAATTATTGCAACTTTTTTTAAATCAAAACTGTCTAAATTATTATATAGCTTTCATAATTATTAATTTTTAATCAATATATAAATATGTGAAAAAATTTGCAAAAAAATCTAACAAAATTAAAATTAAATAATAAATAAATAAATAAAATAAATATCTCAAATATAAAGCTTTTGCAACTTGAAATTTTACAGTAGCATTAAAATAATTTTATTTAAAATTTAACACGAATAAAAAGCCTTTACACGTTTTTTCTTTAAATCACAAAAGTTTTAAAAAAAATTTTGGGTTTACTGAAATAATTAAATCTCAAGATAATATTAAAAATAAAAATATGTACAAACTAATTTTAATTAAAATGAACAAACAAATTAATTAATTTTTTTAATTTGTAAAAGACAAAAAATGATCAGGATTTAGGCTTTAACAAAATATTTACAGAACAAAAAAATTTTTGCACGTTTTTTTGTAAACTAAAAAAAAAATATGTACAAAACAAAAAATAATTTTAACCACAATTAAATTCTAATAAATTTAAAATTAAAAGACAAAATGATCAGTAAAAAGTATTACAGTACAAAATAATTTTTGCGCGTTTTTTGTAACGATTAAAAAAAATAAGTACAAAACAAAATAATTTGAAATACGATTAAATAATTAGTCAAAGACAAATAACCAGTAAAATATTTACAGTACAAACGATTGAAAAAATATGTACAAACCAAAATAATTTGAACCCACAAATTAAATTAATTAGTCTAAAAGACAATCAGTAAAAAATATTTACAGGGCAAAATAATTTTTGCACGTTTTTTGCAACGATTAAAATATTATTTTGGGCTGAATGAACAAACAAAAACTAATAATTAGAAGAATTAAAATATTCAAGATAAAAAACTAAAAGTAATAATAATAATAATAAATTAAGATATTCAAGATAAATATATTTACAGCACCAAATTTAAAATTAATTAATTAAAATTAATAAGCAATTTTTTTGATATGCTGAAGTAAAGTTAAATGCCTAAAATATTTTTATGGTCTTATGAAACAAATACCAAAAAGGATAAAAATATTTTCATTAAAAATTCGGTACAAAATTAAAAGGACAAGACCTTTTAATCAAATCCAAATGCAAATTCATATCAATTCATCCAAATTTGAAAAAAAATAATTAAAATAGTTCAAATGCAAATTCATATTATTATAAGGAAATTGAAGACAAAGAAGACTGAAGAGTTATATCAAAATTATATTTTAATTATAATAGATATTATTTTAATGAAATAGTAAAATGAGATGAATATATAAAATATGAAAACTGTTTTTCATAATCTCTCATAACAGACACCTCTGTCTGAGATATGAAAATAATGTATATAAATAAAAAAAAATTAACTCTGCACTTTTAAGACCACAAATTAATTTTTAAAATTGATTTTTAAATACCACAACACTTTTGCCTAAAAATATTTTTATGGTCTTATGAAACAAATACCAAAAAGAATAAAAATATTTTCATTAAATACAAAATTAAAAGGACAAGACCTTTTAATCAAATCCAAATGCAAATTCATATCAATTCATCTAATTTGAAAAAATTTGAAATATTAAAAAATTTGAAAGTATTTAAAAAACAGTTCAAATGAAAATTCATATTATTATAAGGAAATTGAAGACAAGGAAGACTGGAGAGTTAAATATATAGATATTTCAATTATAATAGATATTATATTAATGAAATAGTCAAATGAAATGTATATATAAAAATATGAAAACTGTTTTTCATAATGTCTCATACCAGACACCTCTGTCTGAGAGACTATATAATAAAAAAAAAAATTAACTCTGCACTTTTAACACCGCAAATTAATTTATAAATTAATTTTAAATACCACAAACACTTTGCTTACCAAAATTAAATAAAAACACTCATATACACTTTTAAAAATAAAATAAAACCACTTTTATATATAAAATAAATAACTATATATCCACTTCCATCAACCATCCACTTTGACCTCAAAATTTAACACAAACTCTGCACTACTTTTGCAAACTTTCACCGCACTATTATATAACTAACAAAATAATAAAAAAAAACTATTTATTTATCATTTTATAAAATTTCGTACAAAATTCGTCTTTACCATATGCACGTTTCCGTATTTTATTTCAAACTAACATTAAAAGAGGTTTCATGTTCCTATGAGGCCAGCAAGAACGTTAGCCCCTCTCTTCTTCAAGGCAGATGTTTTAGCCCCACCACTGAATTAACGGTATTTTTGTAGGTAGAAAAATGGTAAATGGTAATGGATATATTGGTATATTTTTTGTAATTCATTTAGGTTTTATTGGCAAAATTTAGGTGTCGTTTTTGTTCGGTAAAGTTGCAAAGAAGTCGATGAGTTGGTTCAGGTACGCTGAGAGTTCGAGTCTTTGCTGAAGGAAAGTGTGGTGATTGTCGAGTAGATGGCACGAGCAGTTAATTTAAATTAGATAAATATAAACTAGTTGTGTATGGCATCGTGCCTTAAGGCAAATTGCTGGAACTACCCGTACCGTAACGGAATGTTCGAGGAATATTGAATGTTTTCAAATATATTATTACAAATACTGTATCTTTCATTATTTTTGCTATCTTATTATATCTGAGCAAATCAAATGTAAACTAGCTATAAGTGGAATTCTGTCTTAAGGCAATTAGGGCATCGTGCCTTAGGGCAAATTGCTGGAACTTCCCGTACCGCAATTCAAAATTCGAGTAATTAAAAATGATCAATAATAATCAATAAAAGTTGATCAATGATTTGAAACTTTTAATAGAATTTCGAACCATATTAAATCATTTATTTTGAAATATTTTTGAAATTCTGAACTTTTTTTCAAAGCAATCATACTGCTTTAACTGCATAAAGACGAAATATCGAAGCGCGTAAGCGCCGCGTCGCCGTCTAACGTGTAAACATTGGTACGGATCCCATAGGAAAGTAAACAAAATATATACTTATTGTTAAAATCTCTATAAAATATCTGATAATTTGATGTGCATATGTCTAATGTTTATTTTTGACCGCCAAATGGCTCATTTTTTTACTTTTTTCTCCATATCTCCAAAGTCGTTGCACTTGACTTTCCAAAAATTTAAACAGTTTTTCATTTAGTCAATACAGATAAAAGGTTTTTTGAATTAATCAAATCGGACGCTCTGTTCTCTTAAAAACTGAGTTACCGTTTTCGGCACTTTTTGCCCCGTATCTTCGGAACGGCCAGACCTGCCTCCGCCAAAAACTAATCAGCACGTCTCCTTATCAATACGAATCGAATGTTTTTTGAATTATTCAAATCGCTTCATCCGTGTTCCCGAAATCGTTGACGAAAATTTGTATCCGCACACACACACACACACATACATTCATTTTTTCTAAGGTATGCCAAAATGTTCAGAAACCTTCAAAACGTCGAGAAACGCAAAAAATTTCATTTTCGATTTTCGGCCTATTACTATAACTACACCACGGGAAGTTAAAAAAACAATAAGTTGTTTTGTGGATGTTTAATTGCGACGTTTCGAAACTCGATAAGTTTCATCATCAGGTTTTTCAGTCAAAACCGATTTTTTATAAATGTGAAACAATATTGATGAATATATATATTTATGATAATAGAATGCCAAAACAAATTATAAATTATGTACATTTTGCCTTAAAGAAAATTTGTATTAAAAAATATTACAAATTCAAAAGCAAACATTATTTACCTGCTATAATTAATTAACATAAGATAATTAATTATATAAATTTATAGATAAAAATTACAGGCAAATAATTTTTGCTTCTCAATTTCTAATATTATTATTCTTTTATTTTATTAAAATGTACAAAAATCCTATTTTTATAAGTTTTCTAACACTCTCTGTAATGATCAAAGTTGTTAGTCTATATAAAAAAATGATTTTGAGAGAAAAACGTGAAGGAAAGTATCTAGTTCCGAAACGTCGTAATAGAAACGAATTGTTTTTTAATTTATTGGATTAATAATAATAAAAAAAAAACATATATATATATATATATATATTAAATGTAAATATGAACAACACAACACTCAGATTTTTAACACGCACTTTATTTGGTAATTACAGACGTTTCGAGACCATGGTATGCCTCATCTTCAGTGTAATTTCAAAACAGTTACTTATAACTACACATTCTTTAATATTTTATTTAAATTATATTTAATTTTTGAAAATCCATTTATTTACATTATAATAATACCCATCCTGTCTCTTCATCTCGATACTTAAGATTTGTGTGGGAGTAGTGATGTTATGATAATAAATAAAATTAGAAACTCCCAACATAATAAAAAAAATATAAATTTATTAACTATGAAAATATTTCGATATCCTAAAATATACATGACATGTTCCATTGTTTTTTACAAATCAAAACCAGCCTGCTTGATATCGCCACATTTGTTTAAAATATTTCACATGTTTTAGTGCTATGTCAAGCTCTGTAAGTGATAGTTGGTGTTTTTTGTATTTTCAAAAATTAAATGTGATTTAAATAAAATATTAAAGCATGTGTAGCATATAAGTAACTGTTTTTGAAATTATACTGAAGATGAGGTATACCATGGTCTCGAAACGTCTGTAATTACCAAATAAAGCGTGTGTTAAAAATCTGAGTGTTGTATTGTTCATATTTAACATTTATATTATATATATATATATATATATATATAAGTATTCTTGGGTATCATCCAATAATTAAACAATATAATAAAAAGAAATGTCTTTTTTATAGTAGCAAACGTTTTGAGTCTTGTTTTGATTCATCTGTGCATTCTAAAAATTAAAAACAATTAACATGCTTGAGTGAAAAGATCTTTTATAAATCTTTTCATTTATTTTAATTTAATATTTGATTATTAAAAAAATTCTTGTTATATAACTAAGTGTTATATTAATTAGCATTCACATTTTCCTTTAATAAATTTGTTTAATTATTGGATGGATGCCCAAGAACATTTCATCACTGAAAAAAACCTTACTATATATATATATATATATATATATATATAATAATATATATATATATTATATATATATATATATAATATATATATATATATAATATATATATATAATATAATATATATATATATATAATATTATATATATTTATGTAAATCATAAAATATATATAGATGCAATATATATTTATTACTCTGAGTATAAAAAACTGTCATAATCTGTCCTTAAAACTAGATAAAATATAAATTTGGTACATAGCATGTTATCTAAAACCTCTATTATCCTCCTAACTCAATTCCTCATCAGCATAACAATGTTTCAACCTTGGATTACGATAAGTATTCTCAAATTTCACACTCGATGAACTGGTCCTGCATTTGGTGAGACACAATTCATACTGGTCTCTAACCGAAGCTAATACTGCGCTGTGACGGTCTGAAGCCTTCTGGAAGATCTTTTCCAGGATTTGTTTCTTTTCGGGACGAAGGCAGCAGGATACACAGAACTCGTATATTGCACAGCAGTGGTTCTTGTTGCAGGATTCACAGTTGTATTGGAGCCCTGAGGCGCAGCAGTTGTTTGGGAGTAAATCTGAACGCTGGCAAACCACACCTAGATAAAAGATACATGGGTATATATACATATATATATATATATATATATATGTGTCTATTATCTTACCTCTATCATCCACTATAAGATACCTCCCTTGTACAGAATTTCTACAAACCAACGACAGGTCAGAAGAATTGGAATTGATCACCTCGTCAACTCTCCAAACAAACGGATACTGTCTTTTAATTTCAACATCGACATTACTGGTAGCTCCTGGCTAAAAGCAAAAACAACCACATAAACAAGAACCACAAACCAAGGTAAATTTTACAATTTTATTCTCCTAACCTCTTGTATTAAATTGACAACACAGTAGATCAAAGAAAATGCGAATATGATTCCTAAAACTAGTCGTCGACGCAGAAACCTTAAGAGGTTTACAAGAAACATATTTATTACATTTTTGACAAATGTTTTAAAAATTTAATACACAATTAATTTTGTTTGGTTAATCATTATTAAAAATGCAACGACGCAGCTTCTTGTGATCAACTGTCAACTTGACAGGAGGAATGGACACACGAGTAGTGTGAAGTTGGCAAAAAGATAGGTGAAAGTTGATGAATAGTTGGCGGCATTTTTAAATTTGAAAGTAATTATACATTTTCAGATTTACTTGGTTTAAATAAGCGTTTACAAGTAACATATTCATTACATTTTTGACAAATGTTTTATAAATTTAATGCATAATTATTTTGTTTGGTTAATCATTATTAAAAATGCAAAGCGCAGCTTCTTGTGGTCAACTGTCAACTTGACAGCCAATGGACGCAGAACTGGTGTGAAGTTGGCAAAAAGATAGGTGACAGTTGATAAATAGTTGGCGGCATTTTTAAATTTGAAATGTAACTTTTAAAATTCTTGGTTTATTAGATTCTTAGGCTTTTGCCTTAAGGCAAAATGCATAACTTTCGATATGCCTAAATAATAGACGTAGAAATCAATAATTAATTTATAAATATGTAGAGTTGCTGTAGGGCGTGTAGGGTGTTATAATGATATAAAATAATGCAAAGTATTTATTTGCTAAACAAACTAATACTGTGTATGCCTTAAAAGCACCTTGCAAACTTCAATAAATTTATATAATTAAACCACTACCCATAAGCCTATAATATTTTAGGTATATCTAGGCGAATTTTCATTGAAATCATTTCCGTTTGTTAATAAAAATCATTTTATTAATTTACAAATTTATCTCCTAATTATAATACTAATAGTTATTCTACTAAAACCCTGGATTCCATTCAGTGAATTGTGGTACATGATTAACCTTATAGCATACTACACGATCACCTTGCTTAATTTCAATACTCTGGTCTTCGAACCTTAAACCGCACTCAATGTCCTTTTTTATGGTGTCCACCTCTGTCTTGACGTGTCTCATGGACACTAATTTACCCGATGGATTACTTCACCGTCTCGGTCCAGACGATACAGTGAACTTTTCTTTAATAAACCTGGGAAATAGATAATTGTAATTAAAAATATATATAGAGATAGATATAGATAGATGGAGAAGAATATACATATAATATAGATATATATTATATATATAATATATATGTATATATATATATATATGTATATATATATATATATATATATATATATATATATATATATATATATATATATATATATATATATATATGGAGCTCAAAATTATGTAAGATTAGCTGAATCTCGAAAACGGCTGCACCGATTCGGCCACTTTTAGTCTTAAAATATTTAATCTAATCCAGAGGTTGTGCAAAAGGTGAGAAATTATTTCAAAACCGCGTAGAAACTTTACATTCGATGGCAATTAGTTTTGACGAATTATTTATTATTATCTTTACCTTGCGTGCATCTGCAACCCATTACTGTAACTTTGTGCTTGCCTTCGTTTATTGCAAATGTCTGCAGAACTGTTGCCTCTCCAATAATCTCTTCGACAGGTTTTAATGGCAGTTTGTTAGATATTTCTTCTTTGAGATCATCGACTAACCTGGAAATTGAAAAAAACAAAATTACAAGCTGCTACTGGCTTCAACAAAGATTCTGATAAAATTTTGCAAGGTTTTAGAGTTTATAATCAAAACAAAGCCTATGGGAAAAGCTTGGAATAAAATAATAAAAAGCAAAGTTTCTTTAAATTCGCGAGAACACATGAGATCTATAAAACCAAAATTACGATGAACTCTAATACATTTTCTATTTACCTATAAATGATATCGAAATGCTTCACTTTAACATTCCCCGGTATGTTAAGTTGCTCCTTTACTTTAACATTAAAAGCATAAATAACAGAATTTAAAGTCTTGGCAGCAACGACATCATTCTCAGTAACATCTCCGACTCCATAATGAACCAAATCCAAAATACAGTCGTCTTCATGGTGATAAGTGTCCAGGACATCTAAAATAGCCTCTACTGATCCATGGACGTCCCCTTTGATGATAATAGAGACACTTGGGGGGCCACTTTTGTCATCGACGTACTCTTTGGGCCTAGGGCCGGTTCGGCGACTTTTGAAGAGCCCTTTTTTGCGCCTGGCTTCTCTTTCTGCTTTGTAAACCTGGGAAAGAAAAAATTAGTAACAAATAAAAGTACAGGTAGTATGGTTGGTAAATTGTGGTACCTCTTCGTGAGCCTTGGCCTTCGCCTCAATAATACTTTGACTTTGTTGTATCACAGTTTGCTGCACAATATTCTCTCTATAATGAAGCACAGACGAAGCCATTTTCTGAAAACACCAAAAATAGTTTAGGTAATTTATAATAGTCCTTGGTAAAAAAAAGCTGGTCCAATTTCGTTATTAACTTCCCGTAGGGTTGTTATAGTAATGGGCCGAAAATCAAAAATAAAAAATTTTTCTCGACGTTTTGAAGGTTTCTGAACATTTTAAGGGACATACCTCAGAAAAAATTGATGAGTGTGTGTCTGATTTTTACTTTTAAATATGATGTCGAGTTAAAAAAGAACCTTTAGATTGCTGCAATAACATCAAAAATCAAAAGAATGTTGAAAAATTTCACGATTAGAAATGACTTCTACTGGTTTTGTTTTCTAATATCCAACTATTAACAAAAAATTACTTTAGTTGGTTTTTTATATGTTTAGTTTCTTCAAGAGTTTTTGTACAAAAAAAAACCGGTTTATTTATGTTAAGATTTGGCAAAGTTGGATCCGTGGCGCTAGGGTACGAGCTTTGGTCTCGCTACCATAGGGATACTGTGATATTGCGATGTAATGATATCAGATTTTTGCTTTCAAATATGATATTGAGTAAAAATTGCAAATTATTTTTTTAAATTGCAAATTGTCAGGGTTTTACACGAGTATTATCGTCAATCACATTTAATTGGTCAAATTATAAATCATAAATACATTTATCATCGAAAATGTGATGAATTTTAGAATCAGTTTATATGGATATAAACAGTGGTAAATTACCTAACTTGATTAAATACAGATTTATTTTATAATTTGTTTAATGAATTTGATTTGTGATTAATTTAAAAATATTTATTACACAGATAGAAATAAAAATTGTTTTCTGAAAGTTGATTTTTTTACGAATGAAATTTGTGTGTATGTGTTATCAGAAAAATGCAGTACTATCACTTTATCTTATTTTCCTATAATAAATCTTATTTGAATCACTGTGTGTGTCAATGTAAGTTAATTCATTTGAAATTCATTTAAATTATTTGCATTACATGAATTGATGTATTGATAAAATGCCAATTCAAGAATATATTTCAAATGAAGATAGAATAAGATTCTAGTGAAGTAAATATAAAGTTTTTAGAAATAAAGAAATATAAAAATCCCATCAAACTTTTTACTATTGACTTTTTTAACTTCCCGTAGGGTAGTTATAGTAATAGGCCAAAAATCGAAAATGAAATTTTTTGCATTTCTCGACGTTTTGAAGGTTTCTGAACATTTTGGCATACATTAGAAAAAATGGATGTGTGTGTGTTTTTTTTCGTCCACGTTTTCGGGCGCACGGATCAACCGATTTGAATGGTTTAAAAAACATTCGATTCTTATTGATAGGGAGATGTGCTGATTAGTTTTTGGCAAAGGCAGGTTCAGCCGTTACGGAGATATGGAGCAAAGAGTGCAGAAAATAGAAATCGAGTTTGTGAAAGAACGGTGTATCGAATTTGAATGATCTAAAAAACATTCAATTTGTAATGATTGGGAGAAGAGGTGATTAGTTTTTGGCAAAGGCAGGTCCCGTCATTTCGAAGATACAGAGCTAAATATGCAAAAAATAGCAGTTTTTGAAAGAACTAAGCGTCCGATTTGAATGATCTAAAAAACTTTCTGCTTGTATTGACAAAACAATTGCTTTTGATGATAAAAAATTATTACATTTTTTTCATTTTCCATAAAATATTTTTAATTAGTAATTTTGGATTAAAAATTCAAAAAATGATCCAGGCTAAGCACAGTCTAAGCGCCACTCTGGTACAAATGTTTACCCAAGTGCGTTTAGACTGTTTATGTCGCAAACGGAGCACTTTTCCAATTTTGTGAAAACTATTGAAAAATGTTAAAATGCCGCCAAGTTAAGCATAGTATAAGTGAAAATGTCGCACAGAATTATTTGCAAATGCGTTTAGACTGTGACTATACGAGAGCACTTTTTCAATTTTGTGTAAATTAGGCAACTATTTTTTTTTTAAATTGAATTCGAAATGAAATGACGATTGTTAATGTTCTGGAGATAAATTGATTTATGATTTATGATTTACATTTGATTTGCTCAGATATAACAAAAGATAGCAAAAATAATGAAATTTACAGTATTTGCAATACCACGTTTAAAGTTTCTCGAATATTTCGTTACGGTAGGGGAAGTTCCAGCAATTTGCCTTAAGGCACGATGCCATACACCACTAGTTCCTTCTTACCTCCGATTCGACTTCGATCATCTGATCACCAGCCTTAGGCAAATCCCTCCAACCGGCGACTTCTACCGGAATTCCGGGGCCTGCCGGAATGTGCGTCACCTGATCACCATGGTGATCATACAAAGCCCGGACACGACAACTTGTCAACCCGGAAACTAATATATTACCACGCCTAAGAGTTCCTCTGGTCACTAAGGCTGTCGCCAATTTCCTAAGGAAAAAGGACACATTGGTACAAAATTAAATTTTGATTTAATTATTAAGTTACCCTTACCCTTTATGTTCGTCAGTTCGAGTTTCGATCACCCATCCTTCGACAGGTCCTGTGTAATCGGATTTCAGGCCCATGATTTGGGCCTGGACACTGAGGGCTTCGACAAGTTCGTCAAGACCGGTTCCCTTGGTTGCGGAAATTGGAACCCATTGTACTTCGCCGCCCATGCCTTCTAAATTTACACCGTGGGCTAGCAGGTCTCTCTTGACACGCTCCTAAAACAAAACAATATAAATGGAGAGGATAAAAGAGTGTAACCTCTGAATTTTTTTTACTGTGCTCCA